GTTTCTGACAAATGTCCAATAAATGCAGCGTGTTTCTGAAGTTTAAAAAAATAATCGTTTGAATAATCGTGATTTCAATTTTGACCCAAATAATGGTGATTATGATTTTTTTTCCATAACCGAGCAGCTTTAATCTGATGCAATACGGTTCATACATATTGTATTATTCCGGGGTTTTCCCAGCTGACGTGAGGTTTATCTATCTCAGACAAAGAATGGACTAAACGCCAGATTCTGCAGTTAAATAAGCCCAGGCCAGCTTTCTGATCAGATTCAACAATACAGTATGATGTTGAATGGTGCACCTGGTGTGCTTAATGTGTTTGTCAGAAGTCGTGCTCAGCCATGTGTCCTGGTCTAAGCTTTCAGTCGGACTCCCACAGCCTGTCAGCCTGCCATACTATCTTACAATAAGACTGCTAATCTTGGACAGCTTCTGCTACCACAGCTTTTCACCGCACTTGGCTTATATCCAGAGTTTGACAGAGGTTCATCCACAACGAGCTACAATACTGCTTATAAGGCTTCGTGTTTACTTTGGTTTTGAGCATATTGAGCTTCAGTAGAAAGGTCTCTCCTCCCTGCAGCCAAATTAACACATTAGCTCAGCAGTAATCAAGACTTCGTGAATCCCAAACCAGACAATTAAACGGTCTCACCCAAAATGGAACAGAAGCTATTCCTGCTTTTTGAAACACTGCCGATGGCAACAGCACTGAAAATGTCCATTCAAACTGTGTCCGTCTGTGGAGGACCCATTAGTGGTCATCTGATCGCTTCAGACGGACCTGCTGATGGAGCCAGAGCGTGTCCCGGGTCAGAGACTGCACGGCTGTAATAAGCGATGCCGTGTAGTGTTTGATGATCGCAGCAGTGTTGACAGCGTTGCAGTTGATCCTAATTGTTTTCAGAGTAAGAGAGAACTTTTGGGCCCCTCGTAAGTGATTCACAGACAGCTGCTGTCCACACAACGTCTCTCTTTGTAAATGTACAGTAATGGGGTTTCTCTCGTCCCGCACTTCTTCCTCAATAGTTGGACGAGGGATGAACATCAGTTGTTGGCCGTGTGATCAATAATTGGTTCATTGTTAAACTCTTACACGAAAGTTTGATAGCAAATTAATGATCTGCAGCACAGCCCAACAAAATGGAGTATACTTTTATACTTTTATATAATTATTATGGATTAAATAAACAGAAGTGTAAGATTATATAGCTATACAACTGTTGTAATGTTTCATCTGTAGAAATGTAAATCCTTGTTAATAAACGTTTAGCGCCGCAGTTATACAAATAATAAAAGAAGACGTATCTGCAGTAATGTGTAGTTAATTTCAGTTTGTGTAAGAGTTGCTTATCCCGTCATTAAGGACAGTAACTCTTCTTTACTTTACTTAATTACAGGACATTTTAAATCAGTCGTACCCAACTGTGCACGTCATATTCTTTACAGTGATTAATCGAGCAATTAACAGTTAACATCTCTAATTTCAGTCATTGGTCGACCGATATGTTTCCTTTCAGGGTTAATACCGATTATTAGTAGTCAAGGAGACTGATGACCGATATACATTAACAGTTATGCTTCGTTTGTTACAACAAAACAGCTTTGGAAACCATTTAGTTGGTTTCAGTTATTTAAATGTTATAAATTAGCAACATGTGATACCATCAAACCATTAAAACTAGACGTCTTCATTACTCGTTATTACTATGGCTCAATATGTACAATAGCAATATAAATGACTGTTCATCTGTGCAGTCTGTGTACGGACTAACCAGTGGAAGAAGTATTTTTTTAAGTAGCATTACCAGTTTTACAGTCCTGCATTCAAAATCTTAAGCAAAAGTATTCGCAATATACTTAAAGCGCCAAAAGTAAAAGTGTGGAATCGGCCATTATTTTTATTTTATTTGAATAATCTGAATCAAAATGCAAAATAACTACTAACTAAAGTTTGTCTGGTGGATCTGGCGCCTCATGTACCAAAGCTGAGTCCTTACTGCAGCGGCCGTGGGCTCTAACCCCAAAAGTAGTAACTAAAAGTTATCAAATAAATGTGGTGAAAGTCTCCAACAACAACAACAACAACAACAACAACAACAACAACAACCTGCAATCCCCTAATCGTCAGGGTAGACAAAGACTGTGATAAAGGAACCCCTGATGATTTTCTCACGATTTTTTTTTTTTTTTTTTATCATAATGAGCTACAGACAAATTATGAGCCAAATACAATTGATCTTGTCATTCGTCGAAAAAACTTAGAGGTGCTTTCTTATAAGAACAAGTAACTGGTGTTGTCGATGTATATTCAAATCTTAAATAAAAAAGAATATAAACATCTTGACCAAAAAAAGAGGTCCTTTCTTTACAGAAACACTGTTAAACACTGTTTTTGTGTCTTTGTGCAACTGAAGTAGTTATTCACTTAAATAATAAAGAATAACTGGATTTTTAAAAACAAATCCCACATCAAAATAATAACATCAAAACATAAAATCTCTTCAAATAAACTGAGACTGGCTTGTGTAATTTCTGGGGCAATTTTCGCTCAGGAGGTGGC